TCTCCTACCTCCTTTCGCATCTTGTGTCTTTCATCTTCATATCGTGGGCATTCGAATACAACACGGTTTGGTGTATTCCTTTTGCCGCACTCCTCGCATCTATTATCTTCCGTTTTTCCAATCATCTCTGTGTATTTTTTTAAATGCTATATGCCCAGTAAGAAACTGTGTGAAGAAGTAATCCGTTTTCCTGTGTTTTGTTTTCGCCCATGGCTCCACCTCTGGTATCAATACTTTTGTCCATTCTGCTCTTCCACGATCTTCTTCCCATTCTTTCTGCCAACTTCTCATCGTTCTATCCCTAGCTGCCGCTCTTACTCCTTTTCTGTTCCCGTCCGAGTTTGCATAGATGTATGCACTCTCTTCCAACAGCAGGTGTATTGGTGGGATTCTCGATATCTGCTGCTGCTGACGTGGTTCTATATGCACGTGTTAGCCGTATCAGTGCCTTCTTTTGGACGCTGGTCATTTTTAATTTGTGTCTCTCGATTTTCATTGCCTTGTGCCACACCGGAGCTCCATATAATAGGATGGACTGTACTACTCCATAAAGCATTCTTCTTTTATTGCTGCTAGGCCCCCTATGTTCGGCATTAATCTAACCAGTATGGACATCCTGTTTTCGGCTTTTTTAGCAGTTTCGGTTACATGTATTCCTAAGGTGCCTTGGTGATCCATATGTATTCCGAGGTACTTCAGGCTTCTGCTGGGTCTTATCATATCCTCTCTCACTTTAAAACTTATCTTGTTTCTAATTATTTCTTGCTTGGTCCCCTTCAGTATAACGGCCTCGGTTTTCTGGCTTGCAATTCTCAGTTCTTCGTTTGTCATCTTGATTTCTGGCGATTTTTGAATATTGGAATCCCTGTCTCTTTCATCTTGAATTTTTGGTTTGGATCTGAATGTTATTTTTGGAGCGCAGCCGAGATTTCTCTCGTCGCCTGGAGTGTCCTTTTTAGAGGACTTTTTCTTTTTGTGAATAGCTTTCACGTAGCCTCGAGATTGCAGTCTCACCCTGAGGTCTTTGAGGTGTTTAGTTCATCTTAGCTGGGGGAGTGTTAACCGTCATATTTTGTAGAACGGGAAAGCTCGTCAGCAGGGCCTGCAGCTTGTCGAAGGCCGCGCAGAGGTCATCAACCGAGCTGCTGTTGGTGGTTTTAACGGCCCTCGCGTAGGAGATTTCGTTTTTGATCCTGTTTGTTTCTGTCGGCCTTTTTATTTGGGCTGGCGGATCTTTGGCCTTGGTATTTGCCTTTTTTTTCTTAGTGTGTTCCGGACACCCTTGGTAGTTGGCTGGATGGTTCCCTTTACAGTTATAGCATTTAGCTGGAACTTGCTTGGGTTTTTTACACTCAGCCGTCATGTGGCGGCCGGCGCATCTTAAACATGCTGGGATTGCCTTGCAGTTTTTCTGCGAGTGCCCATATTTCTGGCAGCGATAGCACTGTCCTACTGTTTTACGCGGCCTCTGGGGCTCGCTCTTCACCTTGACGTTTAGAATCTCCCTGACGTCGTATATGTGGTTCTGTTCCCTAGAGACTAGAACCAGTACTAGCGGGAGTGGTTTCATATCTTGCTTTCTCAGCCTGACAACCGATATGGTATCGAATCCTTTGGCTTTCAAATCATCCTTGATTTCGTCGATTTCGAGAAATTCGGGGACGCCTCGAAATACGACTCTCAATGGTTTTGCCTCCTGCATTGTGTATGTATGATGCGGGATGCTCTCTTTGACTAGCATTTTGGCCATTTTTCTAAAGTCGTCCGGGCTAGCGGTTTGGACTTTCACTCCGTCGTTTGTGTTTACCGCTTTCGTGAACTTTATGATTTCCCTTGCGGCTATTTCGTTGAATTTGGACCACTTGTCTTTACGCCTTATTGTAATGGGTGGGGGTCTAATTGTTTTGGGGCTCGCTGCCTGTGATGTGGTTGGCATCGCAGCCGCTTCGTCCTGAATTTCGGTTTCCATCTCTTTAGATGAAGGATTTTCTGCGGTTTCCTGAGGTTTTGCCTCATTGGGAATCTGTATTTCTTTGTTCTCAGGGTGGCTGGCTCTGAGTTTCTTGGACTTTCTTTGCGGGATTTCAGTTTTTCCAGTTTTGGACGCCGCATTTTGTGCCGGCGTTTTGGTCTTATTCGTTGGTAGTTGTTGTTTTATGGGAGACTCTGTCTCCGCAGGATGCTTTTTGTTAAGAGTCGCCTCTTCTTCCAGACTTTCTTCAGAAGAATAGCCTAGCATGTCGTCTGGTGATTCGTAGGCGCAGCCCCTTTTTTGTTCAAGTTCCTGTCTCTTTTTGCGCATCAATATATGCGTGGATACGAGTTCCTGTGGGGAGACTTCGTATAAATCTAATAATTTAAAAATCATGGCCAGAACCATGTCTCTCTTCTCGCTACTAGCATTGACGACAAATGTGTCAATAATTTCGTCCATCTTTGCATGTTACTTCTGCGAAAGCTCGTGTGTGACTCAATGTGCTCATGTCTGTAATTCTCAGTTCATGATCTATCATCCACTTTTCCACCTTTTTTTATTGTCGCATCGGCTTTCTTTTCCATACCTTCTCTCGCTCCATAACTGGCACACTATTTGCATTGAAAATTTTCAATACAAATGTATCTCATGAGATACGTTAGCCGATTATGGGTTATTTATTAACTTTCCTACGAGTTTTCTGCTGTAGTCCCCTGACCTAACCTAACCTAACCTTTTTTTTTTTGGTGGGGTGGAAATCCTCATGGACACTGACCGCTGCTGTCCATCGCGAGTCAGTAGTGCCAGACTCTAACTGGCTAAAACCACCCCTGTACCACGAGAATGTCTGGAACCGTCGTTAGACATCCTTCATGGTGTACTTCAATTCGGTACCTCTTTGTCCTTTTTTACCGGAGCTTCTGTCTCATGTAGGATTATTTTTCTGATTCAGCCTTTCCTCCTGCTCCTTCTGCTTCATAATAGTTCTTATAAAGTTGGTTCCCCGTTTCCACCACTCTTTGGTTTTCATCATGTTTTTCAACAGGTTTTGTGTTGTCATTTCCATGCCTGTCTCTGTCTCGTATTGTGTTCTTTCCCTGACCCATCTGTCACATCTCAGAATAGTATGCTCCAGATCATCCCGTTGGGAGCAATAGATACATCTGTCATCTGGGCTTTTGCCGATTTTTTGAGTGTAGGACCTAAAAGACTCGTGACCGCTGAGTACTTGTGTTAGGAAGTAATCTAGTACTCTGAATTCGCATCCCAGCCATACTTCAATATCGGGAATAAGTTCTTTGGTCCACTGGGCCTTTTCCACATTTGCCTCCCATCTGGATTGCCAGGCTATAATAGTGCGTTTCCTCGCTTGGGCTTTATCCTCTTTGGTAACCCGGTCCATACTATCCAGTGATTTCCTTTCCATCACTAAAAGGTCTATCGGTGGTATTCCTGCAATCACCGTCAGTGCCTCTGCAGAAACTGTCCGGTATGCCGATGCCGTCCTGATCAGCATCCTTCTTTGCATTGACAATACCATTCCTTTATATTTCTTAACGTCCATTGCCCGCCACCAGACGGGAGCGGCATACAAAATAACCGACTGCACCACCCCATATAGCAGGCGCCTCTTTCTTGTTTCTGGTCCTCTTGGGAGTATTTTGCCAAGTGCAGTTATCTGCCTGTCTGCTTTCTCACAGATTTTTTTCACGTGCTCGTTGTAAATACATTTGTCGTCTAACCATACTCCCAAATATTTGACATATTTTTTAGGTTTCACAGGGGTGTTTGCCAGAAGGAAGAATATATCTTTCCTCTTCCTAGGCCCTCTGACGATGATTGCTTCTGTTTTCGTCGGTGCAATTTCTAGTCCATTTTCCTCCATCCAATTCTGAATTTTTTGTAGTGCCCGGTTCCCATTGCTTATAAGGCTTTCTTTTTGGTCCGCTCTCACTATCAGTGCAAAGTCGTCAGCGAATGCCGCCGTGAAGCATCCTTGCGGGATATCCAACCGTAGAACTCCATCATACAGTAAGTTCCACAATGTGGGACCGAGTACTGACCCCTGTGGTACCCCCTGTGTGATTTTCTCTTTCTGTTTATTACAGAGCAAGTTTCTTTCGTTAAGATAATCCTCTATAATCCTAATTAGATATCCACTCACCTCTAATGTGTCTAGGCGTTTTAATATTCTGCTCCATTTTGCTGTATTGAAGGCATTCTGTACGTCTATTAGTATAATCACCCCCCAGGTCTGGGTATTCCTGCTGGCTTTGTTAATAACATATTTGACCGCGTCTATTGTACTTCTTTTTGTTCTGAATCCAAACTGTGTTTCTGAGATACTGTCTTTTGCACTCAGCTCGGTTTCCAATCTGTGTTTGATCAGATATTCATACAGTTTCCCAATGCCATCAAGTAAGCATATCGGCCTGTACTTTGCTTGTGCTCCCGACTCTTCCTTTTGGTATCAATACAACTTTGGCCACTTTCCAGCTCATGGGAAAAATGCCTTCTCTCAGAGGATCGTTCAGCACGTTCAGCACCGTCTGCGGGATCGATTTTACAACTAGTTTAATGGCCTCTGGGAGAATTCCATCCGGACCTGGTGATTTTTTCGTTTTGATCTTATCTACTGCTGCAGTCAGTTCCTCCACTGTGAATAGTTGGGGTGGATCATGTACCGCTATGCGTGTCCTGGGCTCGTCCTGGTATTGTGGAAACAATTCTTTGACTTTCCTCATCTTTGTCTCAGAGTCTAAGTTGTAAGCTGTAATTGAGTTTCTCATACTACTTGTAACGATTTTATAGCCCTGGCCCCATATGTCATTCTCCAGTTGGTCACATAGCGATTTCCACTGTTCTTTCTGTGATTTTTTAATTTCTTTCCTGAGTTCCCTCTGGAATCCATATACGCATTTTCCAGTTGTTCTATTTCTTTCCTGCTTCCCATCGCCACTCTCGCTCTTTGCATCCGTCTTCTGGCTTGATTACACTCTCTCCTTCTCTGTTCAATGGTGTGTGTTCACCAAGCTGGCTGATTTCTTAGTCTGCCACCAGGTGTTCTGGCGAGGCATTCTTTCTGAGTGTTTCTAACTACGTTCGTTAGTTCACTCGTACTCGTTATCCTCTGCTCGACTGCCTGGATTTTTGTTATAAAGTCAAGTTCCTTTATGTAGTGCGTTTCGCGCCATTCTAGCTTTGGTGTCTTGAGTTTGTCCCTAATTTCGAAAGAAATGTATTTGTGAAGACTCAGGCTTTCTTCCGTGGAGACCTCCCACCCCTGAATGTTTCTTGCTATTCCTTGAGTGGAGAGCGTGATATCTATGTGGAAACTTTGGGTGCCCCTGGTGAATGTGGGGGTTTCCCCTTCGTTGTGCACCACCATATTTTGAGCCTGGATCCACTCTGCGAGGTAGTCACCCCGTGTATCTGTGATGGCCGCGGCCCACATCGCCGATTTGGCGTTGAAGTCCCCGACAACCACTGCTTCTCTCCCTCCATCTCTAACATGTTCCATAACCCTGTCGATGTATTCCTTGTATTGTTCTAGTGTACAGTTAGGGGAGATATAACAGTTGTATAGTGCCCAATTATTGAAAATTAGACATACGAAGCCTAAACCTACCTCGTGTGTTACTACCCCGCAGTTTGGATTGATACAGTATATGGCGGTATCACTTCTAAGGTCTTTGATCCATTTGGGATTACTACCAGTCAATGATTTATTTGGTTCTTGCACCAGTATGATATCAATTTCCTTTTCGAACATCATTTTTTGCAGAAGGTGGTGTGCTTGCCTTCTCCTGTCCGTATTTATTTGTAGGACTTTAATGGCCATTTATTCGGTATCAGTTACGACATTGAGCTCATCCCTGAGCCTGACGTGTCATCTTGGACTACTATTATTTTTGGTGTCTTTGTATCTGCCGGAGGAGTGATTCCTACCATTTGAGCTATTATCTGTGACGGGGTTTCATCTAGGCCATGGTCCTCTTCTTTTTCCTCTTCCATGTCAACTTCCTCCTGTTGCTCCTTTTCCCTCAGAGCATTTATTAAGATGGTTCCTAGGGTGCTGTTCCCTTTAACATTTCCTTGGGCTCTTTCTCTTTGCCTTGCCATCTTGAGCGCTTCCTTGAATTCGCGGCATTTGGCTGATCCCGCCTTATGCCCCTGTTCTTCGCAGATTGGACAGTATTCCTCCCCACTGCATTCGCTTTGTTTGTGATTGGTCTCTCCACATTTGAAGCAGTTCGTTCTCCTGTCTGGTCCGTCGCATTTGCTCACCTTGTGTTTGTGCGACCAGCATCTCGGGCATTTGTAAATCTTGAGCCTTTTCTCCAGTTTACATCTAGCCAGTCCTACCTTGAGAAACTCTCTCGCGAGTAGCTTGTCAGTGATTTGCTTGGGCAGAGTGAGAGTAACGGCCATGGTGTCATTCGGTAGGGGTCGAGTTTCACTAATCCTGCAGCTGTCCGTCCACTCGCCCACCGCCTCTTTTATGGCAGTTTTTATCTCTTCTTTGGTCGTGCCTTCCAGCATTCCCCTCAGATGAGTAGTTTCCATTTCTACAGGTACTTTGAGATTTCGTGTCTTGAGGTTTCCTTCCTCTCTCAGGGCCTTACTCAGATTATCAAGGGCTACCGCATCTTTGTCCAAGGTTATGAGCAGTTTTCCATCCCGGGTACTCATGATGTTCCTAATTGAGTCGGCGGCCTCCTTATCTTTTACAGTGTCCTTAACTTTGGACAGAATTTCACTGTAGGTTTTATTTCCGTCCATTACTACAATACCGAAAGTGTTTCTTATTTTTGTGCTTCCTTTACTGTTATTTGTATATATGTCCACCTTCGTATAGGCGCCATGAAAGATGCTCTCCACCATCTTTTTCATATTCTCCAGGGGTATTCCTACAACATGGTGTATCGCTACCCTTGCGTCCAAAGCTGTTTCAGTCCTTAATTTATCCAGTTTTTTCCAGACGTCCTCTTCCGACCCGTTATGTATAATTTTGATAGCCTTCTTTTTGAGGGTTGTTTGTTTTCCCCTAATTCTCGTTGTCTGTTCCATTACTTCAAAATCCTCGGTTAGTTCCTCCAGCTCCGGGAATCTCTCTTTATAGAGTTTTTGGATACTTTGTGTCATATTTGGATCATTCGGTTCTATAAGGACAACCTTAACGACACTATCATCCGTTGCCAGAGGGTTTCCCACAATTATCTTTGTATTGACATAGAAAGTTTCCTCCCAATCATACTTCGCCATGCTTTGGTAGGCTTCGTAATCATCTGCTCTCTCCAATTTCATCAAGGATGTACTCGCTTGCTCTATCCAGACCTCCGTTTGAGTACCAGCTTCTACAGTTTTACAGCCTTCTGCACTGCCTCCCCTTACGAATGTAGGCATGTCTCCCTTATTCTGCACCGACAGATTCTTGGACGCAATCCAGTCCGCCCAGTGCTCTCCCTTTACATTGGCGCGAGGGGAACCCCACAGTGGTGATGCCGCACTGATATCCCCGGCTATGACCATTTCCTTATCTACCTCGGTTACCGCGTCCATGATATCATCGACCTCTCTTTTATATTGTTCCAGGGGTATATTCGGTGATATGTAACAGGCTAGAATTGCAATGTCCTCCAATTCCATTACTATACCGGGTGTCCCAGAGCTTTTAGGCCAGCAGATATCTCAGTTACCTGCAGAACAAAAATTAAAACAAAAATATGTATCATAGGAGAACATAAGCACTTTCATGTAGCATAGCAAAATCCACCCCCTGGTAAACAACCCCCAAGAAACCACCCCTAACTTTTGTTTTTCAAATGGCACGCCCATGTTTGTTTTGGTTCAACTTACAGTCTTTTTCATTTCTCGGTCAATGATGTATCATGGTAGGTAGAATGACATGCAGAATCATAGAAAATTAAAAAAACACAAATGAAATATTAATGTTTAAGGTCATCTGTATTTTGATACATGATACTACAGAAAATGTTCAAAATGTTGGCCAGCACTTGCCACACATGCTTCAAGTCGCTGAATCAGCGCGCGAGTACAGGAAGCCCTAATCATTTCCGGAGTAACGGTATGACAAGCCTCTAAATTTTTTTGGGTTAAATCGTCAATATTCATTGGTTGTGTTTCGAAGGCAACTCGTTTCAGATATCCCCACAGGAAAAAGTCCAGTGGCGTGAGATCTGGAGAACGTGCAGGCCATCGCACAGGTCCACTATTTCCAATCCAACGGTCTCGAAAAGTATCATTGAGGAATGTAGTAACTACATTATGGTTATGTGCAGGAGCACCATGTTGTTGCCACCACATTTGTTGTCGTTCTTCAAGTGGAATATCTTCCAGGAGGGCAGGTAAACAATTTTCCAAGAAATGTAAATATCGGTGGCCCGTCAAAGTGTCTTGGAAAAAATGGGGCCCGATGAGTCGTCCATTATGTAAACCACACCACACGTTCACACCCCACATTGTTTGGAAATTGGTTTCTCTAATCCAGTGAGGGTTGTCCTGTGACCAATAGTGCATGTTATGTCGATTAACAGAACCATTATTATGGAAGCGGGATTCGTCACTCCACAAGATTTGATTGAGGATGTTTGGATTGTCATGGACTAAAACTTGAATGTGAGCAATGAATGCCGTTCGTCTTTCGAAATCGGTAGGTCTGAGTACTTGGTGTAAATGAATTTTGAAGGGATGATACTTGTACTGTTTGAAAATTCTTTGCACAGATGACTTACTGATCCCAATCTCTACCGCCAATGCACGAACCGAAATATGAGGATGTGCTTCGGCGTAGGCCAACACATTTATGCAATTTTCCTCAGTTCGCACGGGAGTAGGATGTACTTGATCTGTTTATCCTGGAAATGATCCCGTTCGCATGGTATTTTCTACATACGAAAACGTATTACGACCTGGTTGTCGACGATCAGGAAAGCGCTGCCCATACAGCCTCTCCGCAGCACGTTTATTCTTTCGGCATTCACCAAAAATTAAAAGCATAGCAACGTATTCGTTGGGAGTGAAGGTAAAAGGCATTTTGATATACAACAACAATATCACGACTGATGGCAATGTGTCATCCAGATATCAGAGGAATGAAAGGAAGCACAAAAAGTTCTAACATTTTATCGCCTCTTTTTCTGCGTAGCGTCCACTTTTTCTGGTGTCTACAATGCAGAACAATTCGATCAGTCCAGTTAATAGTACCCACTATCGTATTCTGATATATCGTTGGTTGAGAAATAACAAGAGCTGTCAGTTGAACGACAAACAACATGGGGTTGCCATTTGAAAAACAAAAGTGAGGGGTGGTTTCGCAGGGGTTGCTCGCGAGGGGGTGGATTTTCTCTGCTACATGAAAGTGCTGGTGGTCTTCTATGATATACATATTTTTTTGAATTTTTTTCTGCAGGTGACTGAGATATCTGCTGGCCTAAAAGCTCTGGGACACCCGGTATACCCGACCCCTTTTCTAACTCTCCGGACCCCTACGTTTCTGTTAATGCACTTTATTGCTATGTTTATCCTAGTATCGACTATCCACTCCCCATTGCTTACCAGTTTTTTATTGGGTTCAGCCACTATCTGTATATCCGTATGGTGGTTTCGTGTGGCAATTTGCACGTTATCGTGTGCATCCCTGGCTCTTCCTAAATTAGATTGGAGGACTTTCAACATGATAAGTTTTATGATATTAAATCTAGTAAGACAGAATCTTCTTCCTGGACATAGTTTCCTTCCTTCTCCTCGTCGACTTGTTCCAGTCTGGGGTCCTTGTCCCCTTGTTCAATATTATAATCTATGATCTCTTGAAGTGTTATTCCTTGTTTAGGGTTTCCACCTCCCTCCTCCCGCTGGAGTTTTGTGCGCCTCTGTTCCTTGTTCCTGGCCCTCTTCAGAGCATCTTTGAAGGCCTTGCACCTCAGTGTGCCTGTCGTATGTTGTTCTCCACATACTAGGCAAAATTCAGGGTTACTGCACGTTGCCACGCCATGTTCAGACCCACCGCACTTATAGCAGTTTTTTGTTCTATCAGCTCCAGTACAATTATTCGTCTCATGGTCGTGGGCCCAACATTTCCCACATCTCGGCACCCTAACCCTTTTTTCGACTCTACATCTTACTAAGCCGACCCTAATGTACTCGTTGGAGAGTAGTTTATTCGCCAGCTCCTTTGGCATGGTAAGAGTTGCTGTCTGCGTGTCGTTGGTGTATGGGCGTAATTCGCTGATATTTATTACGACATTAGTTGACTGCGTGGCGTTTTCCACTGCTCTGATTATGTCTGCTTTGACCGCGTCCCCTGACATTCCTTTAATATGAATGATTTCTGGTTTTTCCTCTCCTGATTCGGAGTGAACTATCCTCCTTCAGGGCATCATTTAGGTTATTTAGGGCATCGATGTCTTTATCTATTGTCAAGAATAATTTTCCATCTTTCGTGTTCTTTATGTTCTGGATCGTTGCAACTGATTGACTATTCTTGACGGCTCCTGTAACCTTCTCTAGGATTTTTTTATAGGTATCACCGTTTGCACTTACTATCATGCCATAGGTCTTTTTCTCCGTTCTGATTTTGGGGTCGAGGCTAGCCGTAGTGTATATTTCAACTTGTGTTGTTGATTGATAAAAGATCGCCTCCGTTGCTTTTCGTAGCTGTTCAGTTGTAATACCTATAATATGATGGATGCATATTTGGTTTTCCTCAGCCATTTTCTCTCTCAATTTATGGATCTTCCTCCATATGTCTTGTAGGGTTCCTTCATGCATCATCTTGATTACTTTTCTACGGCTCTGCGTTTCTGTCCCTTTGATTCGGGGGATTGTTCCAGAACCACAAAGTCGTCCTCCTCCTCTACCAGTTCAGGATATTTTTCCTTATACAACTTGAGGATGCCTTTATTCATGTCCTTCTCATTTGGGCCAACCATAACTACTTTAACGGTCCTGTCCACCGTCTGCAGCGGGTTTCCCACAACCACTTTGGTATTTGTAAAAACTCCCTCTTCCCATTTAAGAGGCTCTTTCTTACAAAATTCTTTCCATTCCATTTTCGTCCCGAGTTCGCTGAGAGTTTCTGGCAGTGCTTCTCTCCATGGGTTGGTTTGAGTGGACGCATCGGCCATTTCCGTCCCTTTGGTCTGCATGGTCTGCGTACTATATCGATAGTCATTTTTTCGATTGCCTCCATTTTATTTCTATCCAACCACTCCTTTATAGACTTCCTTTGGAGTAGTTCCGATGTTCTTTTCATTTTTTGTCCTAGATCTCTTAATCTCTTGTTGATGTTTGGATTCTCTGCTATAATTTTATCCAATTACATCATTTGGTGTTTATTAGCCTTAAGAGCCTCCATTATTGTGAATGCCTCCGGGCTCTCCCTTTTCTTGTAGGGGTTATCTATTCCTGTTTCCTGCGATGTATCCCCTACTTTGCGTTTTTTTGAGTCCGGTACCGAATACCTTCGTGTAATCGCGCCTACTTTTTCCTTCTCTACTGTGCCAGTCCTTCCAATTATGGGGTGGTTGCCTCCCTCTACAAATACCGTTTCTGGTTCTTCGTTTATATTCATTTCTATTCCCACGAGTAGGGACGTAATAATGTTGAGGATTTGATTGGCATAGTTTTTATGAAAAAACCTTTATGGGATCAGAGGGATCCGATGCACCATAACCGGTACATTCTTGACAAGTTGTGGGATGAAGTAGCCAGTTCAATGAATTCAACAATTGTTTTATTTACATATTTTCTAATATTTATTTTTATTTCGTTTCCTACCTATATATTTTTCCGTAGAAAGTATAAATAGGTATATCTATATAGGTAATCCAAAATAAAATTTTCTCGAGGTACATATTATTTCCAATTTTTATCACTCTGAAGTAGGTAATCTGTTTGCACAAACAAAAGTCTTGAAAACATCTCTGACGTGAGTAGCTGTTTCGGTAGGTCTGTTATTTTCTCTTCCACTAGTGAAAGCACTTGATAAATATGGGACTTTTTTTAACTATATCAAACTATTTAACTATTTTAGGTAGGTATTACACAAATATGAAAAAATTAATAGTTTGATTTCAATTGATTTAAATCTCAGTTTTCGTTACTTTATATAATATTAAATAATTTTGTTTATCATTTCAGGACAGGCAGTGAGAGGTAAATGGAAGGCCCTGCGTGACAAGTTTCGTCAAGAATTTCAGAAGAAGCCAGTGCCACGTTCTGGTGACGGTGGTGGGTCACAAGCAGACTGGAAATCGCCGTGGAAACATTTTGACAACCTGCTTTTCCTGCAAGATCAATTCACTGTTCGCACAGCTGATGGGAATTTGCCCGAACCTGAAGTTCCTACCGATTCATTGGACACAGAGCCTACCGAATATCCTAGTGTCTCCAATTGTGAAGAAGTCAACATGTCAAACCCCTTCCTCAGGCTGATAAGCTACTACTGAGAATTAAAATTCAGCAACTTGTGTACGACTTTATCACGAAGAGACCAACCAATGCTGGCGGTAACTGTGAAATGCAGCCAATCCATTATGCTCATGCCGCACGCACTTCAAATGAATAATTTTCTCGTCCACATAATCCGGATCATGAACTATCAAATCCTTCTTCTGTTGCATCGTATTTCAGCAATTATTCTGGCGAAGAACCATTTATATCTTCCCCTCCTTAATTATGTTATGCATTTTAGTGTTTTATATATTCCTGTATTTTATTGTATTATTTTATTTTTGTTTTATTTTTATTTGTAATTGCATTTTAAATAAATAAAAAGGCAAACTTGTTTGCGATATTACTTCGAAACAAAAAATATATATCTGTAAATATTCCTGTATAAACCTACCTTGTCTGCTTAACGTTGAAGTTAATTTTTAGTTATTAATATTAAACCTTCATTAATAAAACTTTTACGGTACGAACCTGTATTAAAAATTTGTACTTACCTTAAAGTAACTGCAAGACGTTCAACAGGTAAAATTGGATTTAAAATGCAGTTCGGCCACCTCTTCAGCAATCTGCGTTGTACTTTACTGAGCAAGTAGTCGAATGTCTTGATATCCATGCGGAAATATTCATAAACTTTCATAGAATCTCTTCGAAGTTCTTCATATAAATGGTGGAATTCACCGTGTTCATGTCGCGATTGATTTATTTCGTGAATCCCTTCTACTTTTCGCCCCCCACGTAAGAACCACAATCTCAATGACGAGTTTTCCGCAAAGAAGTAGTAGTCGTCGTCCATACTCAAGAAGGATTTGAATCGCACTGACTCTTCGCTCCACTCCGAAATGCCAACTCTCAGCTCTCTTCGCTCTTATCTTTGCTCTCCTTCTTCGTTCTCATCGCAGCTCCAGTGTGTAACCCTAAGGCCTTATTTGTCTTCTCTATCAATTCAATTTTTTTATTGGCCGCAACCATGACCGCTAGATCGTCTGCAAAGGCTATTGTTTCAACATCATCCGGAAGTTTTACTCTTAATACTCCATCATAGAGTATATTCCACAGGGTCGGTCCGAGTACAGATCCCTGTGGAACCCCTGCAGTGATTTCTTTTCGGTGGTCCTTTGCCACTGAGATTTCTCGATACTCCAAATAACTGGATATAGTGTTGATCAGATATGAGCTAATCCCGATCTTCGTCAGCCTATCCATTATGATGCTCCAGGTGGCCGTGTTAAATGTATTTTTCACGTCAACTGTTATTAGGGCGTGCCAGGTTTTTCGTGCATTTCTTTCATATTCCTTAACCAGTTCAATTGCACCAACTGTTGATCTGCCCCTACGGAAGCCAAATTGGTTTTCTGATATTGCTTCCTTGTCGTTAAGCTCTATCTCTAAACGTTCTCTGATCAACAATTCATACAATTTATCCGGAGAATCGAGTAAACATATCGGGCGATGTTGTGGTGTACTTTCCTCCAGTTGTTGGCTCGATTTCAGAATCATTACAACTCTTGCGCTTTTCCACTTCTTTGGAAACACCTGCTTCCTTAATAGTTCATTATATGTTTGCAGAACAAAGGTGGGGGCTTTTTTTGCTATCTCCATTATGGATTCTGGTGTCAGATTATCTGAGCCCGGAGACTTGCCTACCTTGATTTTGCTTATTGCGCTGTTAAGTTCTTCTTCTATGAATGGTGGGGGGTTTGGAACTAGTTTCGGGAAAATTTCTGCTATTTTTATTTTTTCATAGTCTTCCAGTTATTACTTTGAGGTGCCTCCTCGTTATTTGATATCCATCCCCCAGATGTCCTTGAGCTTTCTACACAGTTCCCTCCATTGTTCTCTCTTTGATTTTCTTATCATCTTTTGGAGTTCCTTTCGAAGTTGTTTGAGTTGTTCTTCCATTCTTGTCGTGCTTGCGTCAGGTGATTTTCGATGATTTCACGTGATCCTTCTTCTCATTGCGTTACATTCTGCTTTTCTCTGGGAGATTTCGTTGTTCCACCAGTATGGCTGTACTTCCACTTTCCCTTTTCTGGTCATTGTTGCCGATCTTTGTGCGTTTGCGTTTATTGACAGGTAGTTTTCTACCGTTGGCGTACCATCGTTTCCCAGCTCTTTCTACGATTTTCCTGAAGGTTGCTTTGTTCAAGTATGGTTTTTTGTTCCATTGCCTTTTTTCTCCTATCATGGTACTTATATGAAAATGTATATACTTGTGTTGGATCATTGTTTCCTCATCCATTGTTTTTCAGTCTTTTACTTTACTCGCAATCCTGTTGTCATCGTTATCTCTATGTGTGACTTTGATATGCCTCTTTCAAATGTAAGGTTTTCGTTATTGTGTATAGTGAGGTCAAGGGTTGCAATTCAATCTGTTAGATAGTTATCTCTGTCATCTGTATGTGGTGCTCCCATAGTGGTGATTTCGTATTAAAAACTCCTCTTTCTCTTCTTTATCCCGCTCTTCCTCTTTTCTTGCTGCTTTCGCTGCCATTTCTGCCGCCGCTGCCGTCATAGCATTTATTGACTCAGTCACCGCCTCACCCAGCAGGAAGTCTCCATTCCAGCCTTTCTTCTCCGTCCCTCCCTGTCTCTTGTCTTGGTTGTATCTCTGCTTTGTTATTTTTAGTGCCACCTTGAAAGCAGGGCACCCCATGGAGCCCAATTTGTGGCCCTCCATTCCACACTCTAGGTAGTACATTTCATTTGTGCAAGCTGCTGCATTGTGCCCTCCTTTGCCGCATTTGAAATAGTTTCCTGTCCTGTCCTCTCCCTTACAATTTTCAGAGTTATGTTCGTAACTCCAGCATTTCACACAGTTTGGCACTCTGTGTCTCATCTCCACCTTACATCGGGCCAGTCCTACTTTTATGAATTCCTGGGCTACTACTGCCTCTGCTATCTTTTTTAGCAGCTTCAAAGTGGCTGCTACTATTTTATTTCCTGTCGGTCTGGTTTCACTTATCCCCCAGTTCTCTTCCCAGGCTTCTACTACTGTCCTCACAACGTCAACTATCTCCTCCCTTGTGGTGTCGCAGAGCATTCCCCTAATGTATATGCTCTCCATTCCGGTGTCTCCGCCTAGGCTGGTTATCTTCATCTCCCCCTCTTTTTTTAATGCATCTTTAACCTCTTCCAAGGCCCTTTGGTTCTTATCCATGGTTATCAGCAATTTTCCTCCTCTAGTACTTCTAACTTCTCGTATGGAGTTGGTTGCCTCGTTTCCGTTCATAGCTTTCATAGCTTTCTTTACCTTATTCAGTACCTCGCTAAATGTTCTTTCTCCATCTGAGACTAACACCCCATATGTCGTCCTTTCCCTCTTAAGTATTTCTTCCCCGCTTGTTGTAAATATCTCCACCCTGGTATTCCTCCCTAAGTGAAAAACAGCCTCAACCATTTTTTGAAGGTTTTTGACCTCCATCCATTTTACATGGGGTATGCATATTTCCTCATCCCCTTCTGTTTCCTCTATGAGTTTCATAATTTTATCCCATGTATCTTTGTGTGTGTCGTCCATCGTCACTTTCACCACCTTTTTCCTTGTCTGCTTTCCTGTCCTTCTTACTTTAGTGATTTGTTCTATTATCTCTATGTCTCCTTCTAGCCTCGCTAGCTCCGGGTACTTATCCCTATATAGCTTTTGGATACTACGATTCATCTCCATGTCATCCGGCTCTATCATCACCACCTTTGTTGTTTCATCAGCAGTTTCTAAGGGGTTTCCTACCGTTATTTTTGTTTTCCTATATATGTCTGCTGCCCATTCTATTTTTTCCATTTCGCAGTACTCTTCATATCCTATTTCTGTTTCTGGGAGCCCAGTTATGATGGAGTTCCCACATCTGCATTCACAATTGCACGCATTCTTTTTCGCTAGTTCTTCTCCACTTTTCATTTTATCTTTCATATTCTTTATTAATTTTTCCATTTCTTCCAATCTTTTCTCGGCTCTTTCCGCTTTTTCTTCTATCATCTTTTTCCCTCTTTCAACTTGTTCATTTGGCTGTTTTTTGCTTTTGATAGTTATCTTTTTCTCTTTCCACTTTGTCTTCTAGTTCCTCTATCAATTTCTTCATTTCCTCGACTTTTTTCTCGGCTCTCTCTGCTTTTTCCTCGGCCGTCCGTTTTACCTTCTCCATTCTATTCATTTCGTCGATTTTTTCTTTTTGATCTTTATTTTTCTCTCTCCCCTCTCTGGCTTGCCTCATGCTTTCCTGTACTTGTGCTAGAAACTTTGTTCTTTCTTTCAGTTTCCCCGCCTCTGTACTAATACGGCTGAAGAGTTTCTTGATCTCTACCTTCGTGTTTGTATTTCCCTTTATCAATGTCATCATCTGTGCCGCCATCTCTACCATATTCTCTACTGTCCTTTCCAGTTTTTGGAACTCCTGTATTCTTCCCTCTATGTTGGTTTCTGATCCCCCTTGTTTTTCCGGAGTCCCCCTCTTTCTTTTCTTTCTCAGTTTCCTCCTGTTTTCTTTTAATTGTTTTGTTTGAATCATCCATAGTAAATCCCACGAACATCTAGAGTTCTTCGGTCCACCTCTACAGAGCCCGGCTTGTAGGGGTAAGGCATTCTACATCGGGAGGCTTCCAATTTCCCGATGGCTCCGTTCTAGACCATATATCGTCTGGTCATCCACCTCTCGGCACGGGTCGCATGACACCTTAGGTTACGGAATTTTGGAAGGGTTTACTCCCTTGGCGAGTATAGACTTGAAAAGAATGACCCCTAGCCCTCGAATACTCTACTAGCATCGGGATAAGAAGAAACAAGGGTTGTCCAAGGGTAGTCGATAGTTCAAAGATACGAGTGTAGGCAGATCCACCCAAGACAAGTTGAAGGAAGGTGGAGTCCGAGCTGGAGAAATCCCAGGGTCGCCATGTCTGCACACCAGATGTGTGACTCCAGGAGGATTTTTTCTCGAGGCTTCTCCCTCTAGATTCGATGGGTTCTGTAAGAGACAGTCCGGCCACGAATAGGCACCCAGCGGTCTTGCCGATGAAGAGGTTATTCGTCTCCGCATCACACCGGCCTGAGAAAGGTAAGTGTTGCCACTTATCTCGATACATCCACTTTTTTTTGTGGCGGTGGATTTATACTTAGTCTCCCGGACCAACCCAACCTATCCTAACTTGACCTAACCTAACCCAACTCTACCTAACCTTTTTGTGGTAGGGTGGAAACCCTCATGGGCACTGGCCGCTCGCTGTCCATCGCGAGTCAGTAGTGCCGGACTCTTACCGGCTAAAACCACCCCTCACCTTCTCCTGTAGTCGGAACCGCCGATGTGGCATAACATCAAGTTAACCTAACTTGACCTAACCTTAACTTTTCTTCGTGGTAGGGTGGAAACCCTCATGGGCACTGGCCGATTGGTGTCCATCGCTAGCCAGTAGGGTCGGACTCTTACCGGAAAAAATCACCCCTCGCCCTCTCCTGTACTCGGAACCGCCGATGTGGCCTAACATCAAGTACAGGCGGCGTGTAAAATCACTCATTTTACGCATAACTTATAGTACCAACGTATGTAAATATCCCAGTTTATCATCTACGGTTTGTTATATCCGGTCCCTTACTAGTTATCAGCAATCACAGCAGGATCCATGCCCTCACCGTCTTTCCTGATTTTGGGCCTCCCTCTCTTCTTTTTCCTTTCTTTACATCATGCTACGGAGGTACCCAGCGCCTGCACGCCAGTTTCCTTGCTCTCTTATGATATACCCCACTAAGTTATCCGGGCTCACTCTGTCTCCAACGAAATGCCACCTCTGGCATGAAAAATGGTATGTTGCGGGTCGTCGTCCGCTTGGCAGTATCTACATCGATCATCCGCTGTTTTCCCTATTCTATAGGTAAAGCTTCCGAAGGAGCCGTGTCCTGTCAGCGCCTGCGTGACTAAATATTCGAGATTCTTAAATTTGCAGTCTAGCCATGGCTTTAGGTTTGGGATCAGTCTTTTTGTCCACTGTGCGGTACCCGTGTTGGCTGTCCATCTCTGTCGCCACTTCCCTATCGCCCTGTTTCTTTCTTCGGCCTTTACTTCTTCCGTGACCGTCTCCCGGTCATCCAGCCGCCATCTTTCCTCCACTAACAGATCGATGGGGGGTATACCGGTAATAACATTCAGGGCATCGGTAGATGCGGTTTTATGCGCCATTGCCACCCTCGACAACATTTGCCTCTGGACTCCGGTTATTCTTGTATCTATTGACGAACATCACTCGCCCCCCATACCGATGCCGCGTACAAAAAGGTCGTTTGTACTGCCCCATAGATAACCTTCCTTTTTTTCCATCCCGGTCCCCTTATGTTGGGGAGCAAGGGCGGCAGTCTGTCTGTCAGCCTTTCCTTTGGTCTATATGACATGCTCGTTGAAAATCAGCTGGTCGTCTAGACAAACCCCCAAGTATTTTACATTCTTTTTTGGTTCCTACAAAAACGAAACTAATCCCCTGCCTCTTTCTCGGTCTCTTGATGATGATTGCCTCTGTTTTATGCGGGGTTGGCTGTAATCCGCTTTCAATCATCCAGTTATTCACCAAGTTTAGGCTAACGTTGGCCTTTTCCACCATCCCCAGCATTTCCTCCTTGTGACTTGCCTGTTCGATGAGCGCTAAGTCATCCGCGTGTCGCAAAGACGGTACCTGGAGATGTCCTGAAAAAGTGCCAGGCTGGGCGTGGAGTTGCGGAAGACCTTCTGCTCCTAGGCCGCTTGTCGCATGAAGACCAGAGCCGGCGGGTGCTAGGCCACCGGAGGATCTATATTTGTTTACGTCATCGCCTCCTAGGTTTGATTCCGAATCCTGAACATCGCGCGTTCCCTGCATTATCGCGAAATCCAAAGGCAAGACCTTTCTTTAAAACAAAATATTCGAATCTATCATTTGCAGTACCCTATGATTCTAGCTATCTAAATGCGCCGAAGGGAAGTACAACTGGCCACCACGATGGCACTACGCCCGACCAGAGAGTTCCCTACGCTCCCTAACCACCTAGCCGACACGCTGTCTCGATTTGACCTACCTATATCCCTAGCCCGAGAGAAGAGAACAGCCTCCCGAGGCACACGATCGCTTTTAAGCCCCCAGATACCAGTGCAATGGGACAGCCCACGTAGACTGTCTCTTAGATATGCTGGGTCGGCGTATCCTCCGATGTATTCGAGCCTGGGTAGGTCGAATACGTCCAAGAAGGCCGGCTAGTGGGACCCTAGGTGCGGCGTGACGCCGGAAGTGACGAAGTCACATTGCCCTGAAAAGGGCAATGCTTGGAACTAAAAAGTTCTGTTTGCAGCAGCTGGTCTTGAAAAAGACCGTTCGGCTTTGTATCCTGGCCTTGATAAATGCCAATATGCTCCACAACGACGTCGATAACGTCGGAAAGTAAATTTTTGTTTTACTTCCCAAATCTCAACTGCGAGAAACTGCAGCTGCAGTTGCTACTGCAGTAGCAACTATATCGTTGTAATACCTTATATTATTCAACAAATCTCCTCTGAGATAATAATTCGAAATTTCAATAAATCTCCTCTGTGACAATAATTCTGAATTCTGCTTGGATTTGTAATCGCCAGTTAAAAGAACGGTTTTACGAAGTTGACTCACATGGTGTATGTCACATGTCCTTCTCAGTCTCATTCTGCAGCTGTTCAATTTTATCCCATAATCCTAGTGGGGTTCCGTCGTATCCAATTTTTATAACCTTTCTCCTATAAGTATTGCCAGTGCCTCGGGCTCTAGTTGTCTGGCCCATGATTTCGAAGCTTCCTTTCACGTGGGGTAGTTCCGGGAATTTTTCCTTATGCAGTTTCTGTATGCTATTAGGGGAGACCGAGGAGGGTTGTGACACTTTTTGCTTTCACTCATATATTTTGGTTAAAAATTGACCTATATCTGTGAACTTTACATCAGTCAAAGCTTGTTCTATTCTCTATTAGAATCAAAAATAAAAATACACAAAACTAATAAGTTTCCCGAGATAATGGATTAAAACCAAAGCGACAACCCGTGTCACAACTCTCCTAATACCAAGGTAAGTTGTGACAGTGCTCGAGGTGAGTTGTGACACTTCAGTGTTTGGAATTTATCGGCACTTTTTGTAGATTAAAAATGAACAAGTAATTACGAAACAGTTTTAATCATAATCTTTGGCTAATTAAGTAACATAATTATTAAAACTTAACAAAATAAATCATCTTTCTAAATGGCACAGAGAGAATAAAAATACTTAATATTAGTTTAATCCGAAAAACAATTATGACACTCGTATTGCAGTTCTCCCCCAGTACAATCTTCATGTGACCATCCTTTGCAATTAATGCATTGCACCCATTTTTCGTTAGGCCTGCTATTGGCAAAGGGCTCGAGGCAACATAAGCAAAAACATTCATTTTCTGTGCCATCACTGCCCTCATTATCGTCCTCCTCTTCGTCACGAATATTCTTTGTCTTTGATTTATTTTTTGGTTTTTTCCCCTTTGGTTTCTTAGCATTTTTATCAGTAAAAATGCGCTTCTTCACGTTCTTCACTTTCCTATTTTCCTCTATGGCAGCAATTTCATCTTTAACTGGTGTATCTGTTAGCACGGCAGACTTGATCTTACGTCTNCATAGCAAAAGACAGAATAAGAAAGTTATGATCAAAAACTTACTTTTGGTCGTTTTTTAGATGACAGCGTCACAGTAACTCAGCCGCTCCTCGTGGGCCGTTGGCGCGTACTAAATCCAATAAGCAGTCTAGAAAACAATAAATGTGCGACGTTGACAGCTCGCTAACGGTCACAGATACAGCGAAATCGCGCGTGTCACAACTCTCCTCTGTCACAACCCTCCTCGGTCTCCCCTATTCATTTCCATATCGTCTAGTTCATGAATAACTCCCTTCACCACTGTGTCCTCTGTATTCAGAGGGTTTCCAATAACAACCTGGGTGTTGGTATATACCGAGTTTCTCCCACATGAGCTTTTCCAGTCTTTGGAACTCTTCAAAATTCTTGGTGACATGTAACTCCTCAGGTTGCCTCAACCTTGAGGCCATACACGTGCAGGTGCACGTACATGCCGTCCTTCCTTCCCTCTCCTCTTGTGTTCTGGTGGTCGTTTCCCTCTCAGGGTTATTTTTGAGCTCCTCCACCTCTTTTCTCAGAGCGGTGATTTCCCCTTTCATCTCTTCCTCTGCGGTAGCTTTCGTCGCTATTGCAGCTTGGATATCTTGTGTCATCAGCTAGCAAGATATGCTCTTCAACATGGTACCTAAATCTTTCAGTTCGGAGCTTGCTTCTGGGGTTTCCAGTTTCATTTCCAGTTCCCTGGCAGTCCATACTTTTTGTTAATTTCATAACCTTTTCCATCTGCCACATTCTGCTCTGCTTTTTTTCATGTCCTTGAAGGTCACTATGCTCGCTCGAATTACTGACTTCCAGATTTGCGCTATTCCTGGTTTCCTCCCTTTTCCTTTTTGCTGACCTTTCATTCTCCTCGTCCCATACGAGATCTACGATTTCGACGTTTGGAGTGAGTAGTTTTTCTTACCCGTTGATGTTTTCGGTGAGCCTGATGGCCCCCATGAATTTACTTTGGGCCTGGCTATCCCACTGCGTGTTTGAGGGCATCGCTTGAGACACACCTAGAGTGCCCGTACACGAGCCACATTTTGCGGTCGGATCGACCACACAATTGCAGTCGCGTTTCAGCGAACTTAAGCCGCCCATAAGAAATACTGTTACTACACGTACACGGACGTTCAGAAAAGTCAAAACGGGCGTCTGCTGTCAACTTGCTGTTGATCTCCGCCGAGATGTCATCGCGGCATCCACCGTACACGAACCACAAACTTGCAGTCGTACCCAACCGCGTACACCGTCGTGTACTTTTTCTCATATTGGTCTCACAGCATTTAATTTTTGATTTCAAATTCAAATAAATTCATCAAAAGAAATAATGGATATTCTGAAGTAATTAACATTTTTTTTCCTCTTTTTTGTGGAGTTTACCGGTTGTCGCTTGTATGTTATTTCATTGTTATTTCACTTTTTTGTTTAATATAATTGTTTTTTAACCTAATTTTTTTAATTTCTTCACAGATTCTGTCAGGGATTTCAAATCAATTTATATCATATTAGACAATGTAAGTCCGAACTGATGAAATGCACCACGAAACATTGTCAACCACCTTCAAACAAAATATAAAAATTTCCTTCTTGTTTTCGCGCAACCAGAAGTGGATGTACCCAAAACGATCGTACCTTCCTACGTTTTCTCCTTCTCCTCAAAATAAGAAGCAATAGTGCTTCTTCTTCGAAATCCATATTGAAACTGGCACTAAACTCTTGACACCACAAAATATAGATGTCAGTTGCTTCAACTGCAAGTGCGTTTTATATGACCGCAAGTCGACCACAAAAATGTGGTTGGGTCAACCGCGAAGTGCAGTCAACGTGGCCACAATGTTGTGGTTGCCTTAATTGCAAATACGGCCGGACTTATACCCCTGTGTCATGCACCCCCTCGACACGATGGATCTACATCTTGGGATTGGGGTGTGGTGTCCTTCTTAGTCTGGCTTCTCCCCCTCGCCCCATCCGGCATGGGTGTCCCTGCCAGTCTATGCTACCGCCGGCATAGCTCCCAGGATCACTGAAGCAACGCAAGCCTCATCACCGCGACAAGGTGAAGAAACCGCCGATGGGGAATCTTACCCAACCTAACTCGACCTAACCTAACCTAACCTTTTTTTTTGGTGGGGTGGAAACGCGAGTTACAGTTCGATAACCTCTTACATCAGCAGGATATTGTTCGATGACCCGAAGACGACATCAATTATTATTTTGCTGATATCTGCAAAGTCGGCAATAATTTATGTATAAATAGGTTCAATTGATTTGTAATAGCCAGTACTTATATTTCATAGTTATTAGTTGTTACTCTGTTCAAATAAAAAGTTTTTAAAAACCCTTTTGTGTGAACGAGAAATATAATTCGCGTCATGCGCTCTGGCCGTTTGAGTCGATCACGAGTCAGTTGTGCCGGACTCCTACCGGCTAAAACCACCCCTAGCCCTCTCTCGCGTCCAGAATCGTCCTAAGACATAACATCGGCACAAGCGGCATTCTAGTTTCTTTCTTTGTTTCTATGTTGTTTTTCTTCCTCTTCCTTCTTT